GGTCAAGTACAATTGCTATTAGCCAAGAACAAGTACAAGGTAGGTCAGTAAGCATGGCTATGGAGACTCCCTTTACTGTGTCTTTTTGGGAACCAGAACTCCCCTTTGTATGTCTTCTGGGGAAACAAGCAGCCTCCATCTTCTCGGGAGTGTCCCCCATTGCCCGGACCTTGTCATAAGACAGCATGGGTAGCGTAGCCTACGTCAAATTCCCTTTTGTTCCAGTTGCAATTTTATGTAACTGGTGTCTCTCAATCATTTCCAAGAATGCCTTCCTCCCTGCCCGTCACCCCCCTCCCCTGCATGCCACATCAACTAGCCACGTGCCCCCAATGCTACTTCTACGTGAGAGTTAATCTAATGGGTTTCTTTTCCCTATGTCCAAAAGACCTTTACTTCAAATATGATTCATCTTTTCAAAGAGCAGTTAAGAAGGAACAGGCTTAATTAAAACAGGTGAGATGGCACTAACTGAAAAAAGATAAGGAAAGTTTAATACTTATAAATCAATCCTGTCCTAAATGTCCAGATGTAGAATGAGGACCAAAAGTTTAGAGAGTCCCAGAGAGCTAACATGATCACATAAAAATATTACATTTATCCAGAGAATTAGTTACCTCTGATAAAGATGAGAAACCCTTTGATCACTTGATTTCATTTGATATTTTCAATAGTCATGAGGTGCCACTCTACCTTTTCCTCCTCTATAATTGAAAAAAACATGATCTAGAAAGATCAAGTTGTTTGTCCATGACCCCTACATTTGAGTTGTCTGACTGTGGAGATCTGCTCATGAAAAACTCACTCCCCTGCCTCGGGGGAAATTTTCGTGACAACAGCAAAATCTGTGCAAACCAAATTAAAGTGCTCTGTTCTGAGATGCTAAATATTAATTATGCAATGCTTTGTTGCTCTGCCATGCTGATGAGTGAGAAAAAATTTACTGAAATTTTTTACCTCAATTCAACTTCAGATGATCATGTTGTTTGAATTACGTTGATTGCCATCATTAATGACTCTGCCATGTCTAATGAGGCTTACAGGAGACAAATCATTGATTTCTCCTCAAATGGAGAAAATCAGATACTATGAATCAGAACCAAAGTAGGTTATTGCGAAGGCTCGTCAACCAGTGATGGTGTTCCTGGTCCTGGCAGTAAACCTCTGAGAGACGGATGTTACGTGGGAGGGTCATTCATAGCAGTTGACACAAACAAGGCTTCAGTTTTGTCCGTTTTACTTGACATCATTGTCACTTTTAATCTAGCACTTATTTTCTCTGACTGTCAGTTTCTTATATGTTTTTTGGGGGATGAAAAATACCTACCTTTTGGATTTAGGGCTAGAGTTAAACAAATGTATGTCATCTGGTTCTATCATATGAACACAATAAATGAAAACTGACATTATTTTGATATTTAAAAACAAAGGAAAGTGCTGGTTAGGAAGGACAGCAATACACAGCCACACCATGAAGACTGCACCATAACATCTTTGGCTATTTCTTTCTTTCTTTCTCTTTTTTTTTTTTTTAAGATTTACTTATTTATTCATACAGAACTAGGTACAAGCCAGAGGTATAGCGATGGTGAGAGGCTTCACCAAAGACAGAGAAAGGAACAAAACAGGCAGATCAGGATGAGGGGAGCAGCGGGCAGGTCAGGAGAGGTCTGCTGCGCTGTGTGGGTCACCTCTGGGGCCAGGGATTGAACTCGCACTGAAGTGCCTGTGGCCAGCTCGCCGCGCTGTGTCCTAACTAGGGAAGGCCCATCTTTAGCTATTTCATTTTACAAATTGCAGAGATGGAGCAATGGGATGTTCTTTCATTGAGAGAAAAGGAGAAGGAAGGCAGAGAATAAAGGGAAGGGACAGCAGTTGGTTATGGTAGGGCACTGTGGGTGTTTTTGTGGTAGGTGTAGAGCAGTGCAGATATCTGAAAGGGGAAGTCTAGATTTCCAAATGCCGATGGTAATGTCAGCTCTATTAAAAAAAAGAGAGAAAGGGAAAGATTTATAAATTTTTATGAGTGCATTGTTTTCTTTTGCTGCCATGACAAATTATCACAAGCTTAGTGTCTAAAACAACTCCAATCTACTAGAATTGCACCGGTTGGAAGTCTGACAGGCCATGATAAAACCAGCTTTCCTACCTTTCTGAAGGGGCCAGAGAGTCTGTTTCTTGTCTCATTGAGGTCGCTGGCAGAATCCTGTGTTGTAGAATGAAGCCTTCATTTGCTGATGGCTGTTAACTGAGGACCATTTTTAGATTCTACAGGTTCCCCCATTCCCTTGGCTCATGGCTCCCATTTTCTAACCTGAAACGGGCAGTGGTGTCTTGAATCCTTTTATGCCGGAGTTTCTCCTGACTTTTAACTCTGACATTGCATTGTTCCAACCCGCTCATCTGTCCTCCTCTTTCATTTCTAAGGACTCATGTAGTTAGAGTGGAGCCATTTGACTTGACCTAGTCTGGAGAATCTAAGGGCCCTTCTCAAGATCTTTAACCTTATGGCAGTGTCCTTTGCTCTGTAAAGTAATGTACCTGTTTCATGGATTAGGTCCTAGACATTGTTGGGCGTGTGGTGGGTGCTTAGTCTGTTACCAAGCGAGTAATGACATACAAATGGATCTTCCAACTATACAGTCCTTATGCATAATTCACATTATATTCCAGTTTGCAAAATAAGTGAGCTCTTGATAAAAATAGACAGATAAACAGACAACACATGAGGCTGCATAATTTGACCTGTACTTGTTCTGCTTAACTCTCATCATCCTCATTCCTCTCATGGTGAGTTGTACACCTGCTACTGAAGTTGCAGTCTCAGAAAGAGACAAACTCTCCTAAGAGAATGACTATAAAAATAAGCAATGGTTAGGCCACATAGTTCAGTAAAATTCTGGCCCACATAAGAAGCCCAGGGAGCCATACCAAATTTCTGCAGCAATGAGCCCAGAATAATCAGCACTTGGTCAACAGCTGCTAGCTTCTCTGTTTATTTTATTTTATTTTTTTTTGCCCTCTTGCTCTCTGCTTCCAACTCAAGACCATCCAGAGAATGCCAGCTATATTCCCCAACCCAACTGCCCAAGATGTCCACTTCCAGGGAAACTGTTTCCCTTTTTCCTGCGTCAACATCCTCCAATTCCATTCCTGAACATTCTCGACATCCATCTTGTTTTCCCATTATAAAACTTAGCTTTTTGTTGATGCCCTTTGAGTTCCTGCCAAATGTGTGTGATGCTGGTTGACCAGCTCTGACCATATAGGTTGTTCACATCTGGTCTTATGCACATTGGTCTTGTTTGGTCTTATGCACATTGATTTGCTCTTTTTTCTCTTCCTGGATCACTCTACCCTCCTTGCCTTCTATGGGTAACTTACATTCCTCTTTTGAGTATCAGCATGGATGTCAATAAGGACAGCAACAATAATAATAACTACTAGTATGATAGCTAGCTGGGCTGAGCCCTGGACTTGCCAAGGCACTATGCTCGATGCCAACAGGTTCAATTTTTCACCTCAGGCTCTCAGAAAATGTGTTGTAGTAAGTTTCTATTACTGTCCATATTTTGACAGATGGGGGAAGATAATTCAGAGAGATAAAATGACATGCCCACAGTCACTGAGATGCGGGGGTTGAGGTAGAATTTAGATAACCTCATTTCATAGTTTCTTTTTCAAACTACTATGTTATGTTGCTTTCAGGAAAGGCTTTTCAAATGCCCTGAGATTGGTGTGGGTTCTTATGATATGTTTCAATAGCATTCTGTATTTTATCTTCACTAGTAATAGTATATTGCAATATTTGAATAATTTATCTATAGTCCTTACTTAAATTTAAGCTCCCTTAGGGGAGGATGGTGTTTCATTTACTTATATTTGAACACAGTAGTTTTTCTATGAATACAGACTGAATGAATGAATGCTTGTACACATGAATACATGCAGAAATCCTTAATATTTTTTCTTAAAAATTGGAGGATACTAAGTTTAAACACAGGGTAAAAGACCCTACTGCTAGTTAAGCTCAGTGAAACACAATTCTACATGTGAATATATTCTACATCTGGTCATTTTCTGGAAATTACTCTCTCTAAAAGGGGGACAGCCTCTTCTGCATTTAGCTTTCCTCCCTATTCTCAGACATAAAGTCATATTAAGGACTAATCTGATCCTTACCTCAGAACATCTCTTTCAAGTAATCATTCTGGTGAGGTTGGATCTGATAGCTTCTAGGCATTGCTTTCCAAGGCAAATCTCATTTAATATCATTCTCCTGAACTGTCTTTCATGCATGCAGTGTTGGCAGACTTACTGGCTACGAATTCCTATGGTTTACATCAGAATTTTAGAGTAAACTTCTCTACCGAGTATTCCTGAAGGTCCCAAGTGAACAACCTTTATGACCCTTGTTCTGGGAGAGAAGCTGAGCTCCTGTTCATGCTCAGTCTGGTTCCAGATCTGTGAGACTGATGGATCTAATGAAGCATTAAGGCAGTGATGGGATTTATTTTCCTTACTTTTTATTTAAAACCTTTGGTATCCATTCATTCATTCAATAAATGTTGAGTATAAACTAAGTTTCTGGTAGTATTTCAGGAGTTAAGAATCCAGAGATAAAGTAGATAGACAAGGCCCATGTTATCATGAGACTAGTGTTCTAGTGGGGGGCAAGAGAAGAGTGAGCAAACAAATAAAATATATTGATAAGTGTGGTCACCTCAAAATTAAGTGACAGCGACTTGCCCAAATAGATCCCTTTTAGAACATTCATTTTCTACAGTCCTGACATCCCATCACACTCACTTACTGATCAACCAGTTTTCTTTGGACTTCCTCAGCTCTCCTCCCAATATTTAATTGATTATATGTAGGGAGCCATAAATCTTATTTTGAATAAATTCCCTAAGAAATGGTCTGAATCTTCCTTTTCCAATTGATCGAGAACATACTAAAAATATATTTTCCTTGCATTCGCCCCCCCTCTCCCCCTGCAGGAGTCAACTACTACAACAAGATAATCGATGACCTATTAACAAATGGGGTCACACCCATAGTGACCCTCTACCACTTTGACTTACCTCAGGCTTTAGAAGACCAAGGAGGTTGGCTGTCAGAATCCATCATTGAAACATTCGACCAGTATGCTCGACTCTGCTTCAGTACATTTGGAGATCGAGTCAAGCAGTGGATCACCATGAATGAGCCCAATGTGCTATCTCTGTTGGCCTATGATCTTGGCTTCTTTCCTCCTGGTGTACCCCACTTAGGAACTGGGGGTTATCAGGCAGCTCATAATATGATTAAAGCTCATGCCAGATCCTGGCACAGTTATGACTCCTTATTCAGAAAAGAACAAAAGGGGATGGTGTCCATATCACTTCTGGCCGGCTGGCCAGAACCAGCAGATCCCAGCTCACTCTCTGACCAGGAAGCTGCTAAAAGAGCCATAGCTTTCCACCTGGATTTCTTTGCTAAACCCATCTTTGGTGATGGTGATTATCCTGAAGTTGTCAAGTCCCAAGTTGCCTCTGTGAGTAAAAAGCAAGGTGACCCATCTTCGAGGCTCCCAGAATTTACAGAAGAAGAGAAGAGAACCATCAAAGGCACCGCAGACTTCTTTGCTGTGCAATATTATACGTCTCGCTTAGTTAAGCACCGGGAAGACACAAAGGGAGAAAGAGGAATTCTTCAGGATGTGGAGCTGGAATTTCTTACAGACCCATCATGGAAAAGTATGGATTGGGTCCACGTGGTGCCATGGGGGCTACGTAAATTACTGAAATATATCATGGTAAGTGCACAATTTCTTTGTGTCCACGTCGGATGGTGGGAAGGCAGGCATGTATGTCTTCAGCCAACAGCATATGGATGTGCTGGCCTGGAAAGAGAAGATCAGAATTCAAGTTTGTTAGGGGTAACTATTTGGTATAAATTAGGATGCTAAGGTTAGTTTGTGGTCACAGGAGTAGCTCAGATATATTTTCCAGGTAGGTGTCACAACTGTGATAATCAAAGGCATAAAACTTTGAAATGCTGGCTTACTTTTGCATGTTTGCTATGCGGGGTGGCATCTAGGTAGTTGCAATTAAAATCCAAGTTATCAGTTTTGGGGACCCCACCTGCAGGGATGGAGAGAATGTAGCTGCTGGTGGGACCAACGGGTTAAGGAGTCAGCAGATGCTGATGGAAGGAAGATATTTCTGACTGTTCATTATCATCAGAGTCATTTGACTGTCTTCATGCGCATTTGCACAGTTTTGCTTTTCCATTGTTAGCCATAAAAGGTCAATGCGTGGAAAATTAAGTTAATAGGGTCAGTGCAATTTGATGAAAACTAGTTTTGGGGTTTTAGCTTAGAGGAGATAGAGGGTAATGCATCTGATTTTATGGGCTTTTTTTTTTTTTTTTTTAACATCTGTTTGGAATAAAACTTCTGCTCTCTTTTTCCAGGACACGTATAATAACCCTGTAATTTACATCACGGAGAATGGGTTTCCCCAGAGTGACCCCGCATCTCTTGATGACACTCAGCGCTGGGAGTGTTTCAGACAGACATTTCAGGAACTGTGCAAAGGTACCATTTGAAATGATGAAAGATCAATTGTGCAAACTTAATATAGTTTTCCCATGTGCCTATTTGCATTCAGCAAAGACCAATGATTTTAAAAGCTGAAATTCATGCAAATCAGTGTAAAGCCATGTAATTAAGAGAGAGGAGAAGAGTATTTAGGAAAGAAGAAGGTGAGGATTTTGGCCTAGCTTCAACCTCCTGAAATTTAATCAAGTAAAAAGCGACTGTCTTCAGCTTTTTGTGACTCCTGGGTGAAGGTGACATGAATAGACTGAGTTGTGGCTGTTGGGAGAGAACATTAGTTATTACAAAAAGATTATCAATGACCAACGACAGTGTGCTTATTTGCATATTTTAATATCCTAACTACCAAGAAATTAGTTGACAGAATGTTTAAAGGACAAAAATTAAGCATTTGTGCAATAAACTTTAAAGTGGCACAAGTCCTCGATCAATGTATGTTTCATTTAAGCTGTAGCTAAGCAACCCAGTTAGAACAGTCTGTTTTTTCTTTTTCATGTAGAATTGTTTGCCAGGACAATATTATTATTCTGGTAACTCCTTCCCATCCACCATGGAGGGCTTTTCATACTTGGAAACAAATGTAAAGGTATAATCTTTAACTGGTGATACCACTTCTATGCCAAATATTTCCTCCTCTTTACCCCTTGGAATACTGTTGCTTAGTAAATTTATTTATTTATTCATTTTTATTGTGATAGCATTGGTTGATAATACTGTATATAATTTAGAAGCATCGAATCACACCTCTTGAGATATATGGTACTTCACTACACTTACCACCAAGGCATAGATAATTCTCCACAGTAGTCCACTTCATGCCATAATTTACTCATCTTCCCCTACCCACCCTAATAGCCTTAATTCTTCAGTTTTCTCTGACCTTTTGTTTGTGTTTCTATATTCCACATATGAGTGAGACTATCTGATATTTCTCTTTCTCTTTTTTGGATCTCTTTGCTTAGAATGATCCTTGCCAGTTTCATCCATAATGCTGCCAATGGCAGAATTTATCCTTTTTGATCACTAAGTAGTATTCCATTATGCATATGTACCGCACAAAATGGTTAAAGACTTGGTTATATGCTCCCAAATCATAAAATACATTAAAAAAAATAGACAAAGCATCCCATAACACAAACCTCAAAAGCATCTTTGCAGACTCATGTCCAGAAAAACAAAGTAGAATATAAACAACTTGGACTATATCAAATGAAAAACTTCTGTACAATGAAAGAGGCAGTGTGACCAAAACAAAGAGACACCCTACTGAATCGGAGAAAGTGTTTGCACACCATACACATCTGACATAGGATTGATATGGAAAATCTAGGAAGTACTGATACAACTCAACAAAAAGAAAACATACAACACCCCCACCTACAAATGGCAGAACAGGAAAAAAGAAATAGATTTTAAAATGAGACCTCTGAGTCCAAGACTTTCAGAACGAAAAGCTTGCTCTTACACCACCACACAGAACCATTCTCTCACCCTTGGGTCTTTAAAAAGAGGTCTTGCATAAATTCTTTGAAAGTGCTTCCTGCTGCCTCTGCAGGGGTGGGCAGTCCTCTGACCTTGGACAAAACTCAAACACTCCAGACCCCGCCTCTCTCAGAGGAGCAGAACTGAACTTACTCATTAACTTCCTAAGTCTCCTCCAAGGTAGCACTGAGGATCTTGACTGGTTAGAACTTTACTAGTAAAAAGCACCCTGTGAGTAATTAAAAATAATAACAGGCCAAAGAAGACATTCATGGGAAGCACTGCAGGTGACAGGTAGACAGAACCTAGGGATCAGATGGATGATGGTCTGGATCCCAGCCGCAAAGCCTCCACTCCAACATCAGGCATACGGACAGGCACATAATGACACTCCAGTCGGATCAATGGCAGCCGCCAGGAAGTCTTACTGATCTCTTCAGGTAAAATCCCACAGCAATTAATTGAGCACTAAGAAGTAAGTTAATGTTTCTGTTTCCTTTTGGGATAGGAGGGAAAAAAGAGAGGGAAATGTCATTTCACACACAAAAAGCAGCTAATGCTTTTTTAATCATTGCATTATTTAAATGCCTTTAAGTAGGTTGTGTTTTAATTAATGTAGATATAGATAAGAACAAAGAGACACAGAGGAGACACCAAAAGTATGAAATAACATAACTAGGTCTTCATTCCAGTTTTGCAGATTATTCAATGGGCAGCCTCTGGCAAGTTGGTCAACCTCTCAAACCCTCAGTTTATTCATCTGTCAAAATGGGGTAATACTTTTCCTAGCAAGGTTGGAATGATTCTAGCTAATGAGTTGCATAAAACACCCCTAGTGATGTTCTGGCATGGAGTAGGTTCTCAATCAGTGGCAACAACTATTTAGTACAAAATGGGCACCCTTATGAATATGTCACCCCAAGTTATTTTCCTTGTTATTTTAAAAATGTCATTCCAAGACTTAAAAGAAATCCTCCCCTGCCCCCTCTAAATTATAGAAGATGATCCCTCCCACGTCTGCAGTTTTCTCCCTCCCTCATTTTGGGAGGGATGGGTCTTGTGACATTGACCCTCTGGCTATTTGTGGATGAAGCATATGGAAGAGAAAAGACCTCCTTCCACTCATTATTTCCATTGGAGAAGTTGCCAGACTAGGTGAAAAATAAAATCATTGGCAGCAGCAACAAATATGAAGCAACTGGATGGATACAATTGCCTTGTCCCATGAGTTTCTGTATACATTCACTTGAAGAGTAAGCTTTGCTCACCTGGTAGGAATCATTATTATGCTCCCCAAAATGACTCAGGCCCTTTCTGTCCCAGGGCCGTAAGCAAGTTTAAGTTCACAGGTAAACACACACAAATGGATACTTGTAGAGCAAACGTTACGGTGGTGAAGACATGGGGGCAGCTGGGCCAGGTGATCCCCAGTAAACAACATTCCAATCAGGACCTAAGTTCTTGTGAGAAGGGCTAGGTGCTGTGGGATGCTTTGCCCATTTTCCCGCTATGTACTGCATAGTTTTAGGTCATTTATCCAAGTATTTTATTTTTTTGAGTTAATTTCTAGGTATTACACATGCATGATGGAATACTACTCAGTGATCAAAAAGGATAAATTCATGCCATTTTCAGTAATGTGGATGAAACCAGAAGGGATCATTCTAACCAAAGTGAGCCAGAGGAGAAAGATAAATATCAGATAATCTCACACATAAACATCAGGCATGTCCTGCTTTGCATTGGGCTCATAATCTCTACTCAACCTGGAGTGTTTGCCATCTTTCTAGCCTGATAAGACCAGACAAGGTATGTGTGTGAACCCTGGTATGACACTAACAAGCTCAATCATTTGGGAAAATTCTGAAACTGACTTTAGCCACGTATTCTTTAAAATGGGGATAATACGAACATTTTATCTTCTACAGGATGGTGAAAGGTGAAAAAGCAAATGGCTAAATAGTCTACATACACAGTCTGGCACATTTTGAAGGCATCCATAAATGAGGGCTAATGGGGGGCTGTGAACCCCTGAGAACTGGAGCTGACTCTTCAGCTCCAGCACCCTCTCTGTCCTCTAGTAGGGTACTGTGTGCTTGTTGAATTTGTGTCTACCTGAGAAGGGTTAGTCCATGGAGCATGAGGAATAAATGATTAACTGCTTGGGAACTGTCTTTTCTTTTTCCTAAAGACATATACCCCACACAGAACAAAAAAAGTGCAGCCTTCTGGAAAGTTTCTGAGGCAGCCCAACTTTCCAGTCAGATCCATGCCTGAGTTAGCACAGCGGTAGATGATTGCAGAGAAGGTTTGTTAATGACCAGCTTTAGGCTTTTAATGACAAAACCCCTCAGCAAGATGTCATCAAAGTTATTGAAGACTTCAGTGAAAGTGTTGAAGCTGATGCATTGTAACAAGAAGGTTATAAATCTTGCAGCTTGGGTATACCACCATGACAAGACGCTGAGCACAGAATCGCCCTGCTGTTGTCTGTCAGCGTTCTCCTTCAACTACCCCCTTCCCCTTCCCATGGAGAGCCAGTAAAGGAGAAATGCATCCATTTCCCAAAGTAGTGCAGACCTGGCAGCCACCTGCCTGTGCCAATTTCAGATCACAGAGGCCCATTTAACTGGACAAAGTGTGTTAAACACCTGTGTTATTCTAAATGTGCATTAAAAAAAATCCTAAGAATTAAGGAAATATCTCAAAGGTTAATACACTGACCTTTTCGAAAAACTAACCAATTAAAAACCCATTACAAGCTCAGAATAGAGACCCAAATACCTGAAGGTAGATCTCCACCCCACATCTATTATTGTTTTATTGCTTCTCCAAGGAGACCTTCATCACTTTGGCCTCTATGAAGGTGTTCACCTCACAACCGTCTCACAACTCAGGTGATATATGCTTGTTTGGCATTGGGTCCAAGTGGTTTTGGGGTAGGATGTGGAAGTCATTTGAAATTTTTGCTGCTGTTTGGATTGGCTAGCATCTAGCAAAGAGGAGTCAAGGTCAGTGTGGACAAGGAGGAATGAAGTTCAAATCTGAGCACAAGTATTGTTGTTGGTGTTGGTGGACAGACTTGTGGGGTTTGAAGTTATGGAGATGATGATTTCCAATACACTTGTGTTCTCCCAATCCATAGAAATATAATGGACATATAATATGGCATAAGCATATAGTGTACAACTTGACAACATGATAATTTGATATGTTTATCTATTACAATAGGGTTACAGTGATATTGTTCACTATTACATAACACTTTCTTTTAATGGGAACAATTAAGATCTGGTCTTTGGGCAACTTGAAGGTTCATAATAACAGTATTATTCACTATGGTCTATAAGTTTTGCATTCGCTCTCTAGAACTTACTAGTTTTTCATTTGTATCCTTTTACAACATCTCTTAGATTCTCCCACTCTTAGCCTCTGGTAACCACTGTTCTACTATATTTTAGAGCAATATTCTACTACTTATATGAGTGTGATTTATA